CCGCTAAGCCTGATTTGTTCTGCCTCCATCATGCTGGAGTTTTCCCACCACCCAAGCAAACCTATCACTTCTACTTCAGAACCCTCTTGAACCTCAGGTTTCTCTGTGATACTCGGCTGGGTCTTCCCGCACGCTTTTGAATCATTTTCAGCTTCTAACATCTTTCCTGCTGCTTCAGTTTGTCAGTGTCTAATACACAGTATAATGATCAAACAAAAGAAAAATTTACTTTTCATAAAAATGGCCAGATTGTACTTATTCATTTATAACTCATTCATTCAGTAATCTTAATGGGACCCTATTATTGCAGCAGGTATAATTCTAAGCTTTGGGCATATAGCACTGAAAAACCAAGACTTCTCACGTAGCTAACATCATGGAATGCTACACAGACATTCCTCACCTAGTGATCAGGTTATGTACTTGTCTAGGTTGTTCGGTGAACTCACCCTCAGAGGAGGAACTGCGTGTGGTGTGCACATTACAATATCCAGGACAAAGAAGTAATCCACAGAGATTCCAACGTGATGACTTTGCTTTTGATTTTTAGAACTCTTACACAGAGCACTGTGGTGCATGCCATGCACAGAACTACAGAAAGTACTACAAGGTACCCCCAGCAGAAATGACAATAGCGTCCTGTAGAAGCCCCCAGGAGGCCGCACTGCTGGCCCCATTCCTGCACCCTAAGTCCAAGTTGTGGGGCATAACGGGGTACCGAACACCTCATTAACGGGGTACCGAACACCTCAGTCACCGGTCTGAATGGTCACTAAATAGGTTACCAGAAGAGGAATATCGGTGCCCATGTTTTACATACAAGTCAGGAAAACAACAGAAATCACACAGCACCATCGCTGTGTGCACATGGGTGGCCGTGGTTGTACCTGCATGTGTTCATCTCCCTCCCCGAGTCTCGGCTCTCGAGGGGTCCCTTCTCCCCATGCCCTCGCTATTTGCCAGCTTCTTCTCACCTGGGTGAGAAGCTTCAGCTCCCCGTGGATCTGCACTCAGGTCACCCTGCACTCAAATACCAGGTTGCTTGATGAAAGCGCTTAGTCCTTCGAGCTCCCTCAGGACTCTTTGTCACCTGCCGAACAAGCGCGTAACCCTCGAGCACAAGCTGACCCCAGCCCACCTGCAGCTCCTCGGCATCCTACGCATGCCGTGCACCCTGCGCTGTTCTGGGAAACTGCGCCTCAGTGCCGTGTGCTCCTTGCTTTCTCTACAGAGATGCCTTTCCTCTGACCCCTTGGACATCTTGAGCTTACCTGGTCTTCACAGCATAGTACAAGCGCTATTACTTCAGTAGAGCGTGGTTGTGGGGAAAAGGCACAGTTCAGGCAACACCTGCCAAGGAGGGCCACAGACCAGCCACTAGACCCACAAGAAATTCTGAGACGAAGCAGCTCCTCAGACAAGTAAGTTCGGGTGATGTGCCACACCATGGCTCTCCACGGAAATTCACACCACGCGTCTACGTATTGGATGCTCTCCAATATCCTCCGACAGGAAAACAACGCTGTGTCCTCTCCCCTGGTCTTTCGTCCTTCTCTGAGTCTACATGATGTCCCAAGATACACGCATACACATAATGGCTGAGTGCGTGTGCGTGCGTGCGTGTGTGTGTGTGTGTAACTTTTTGAGAGAATAAAAAACAGTAAAAAACAATAAAAAACTGGAGGTGAAAGTGAAAAGAGAGCTGACCTGCACAGCCCATCCTTCTTTCTGGGTCCCAGAGGGCTCCACGTGTGCCTTGTGCATGGTCCAGCTCCACCTCGGTCCCAACAGCCACCACAGATCAAGCCCAGCCCTGTCCTCAGACGAAACAGCTCAGAATTTCAGAAAACAAAATAACAAGAATCCAGCAATGGTTGTTACAGTGTGTATTGTTGTATTCAAATTAGTTGAGCATGTTGCCAGATACAAGCATGCAAAATTGGTCAAAAAAAATAAATTAAAAAAAGAAAAATATTGTCTTAACTGTTGCTTTCAATGGAGCAGCAGTACAATTAGCAAGCTATTCTGTAAGGGAAACGGGAAAAGAAGGAAGGAAGTGCGTGCACCTTTTTAAGCACAGCGTTTTACAAGTCATTTGACTTTGGAAACCTTGTACTGCTAAATCTATTCTATGGAATCAGTGTAGTAAGGTTCTCATCTGGAAAATTCCTGAACTTGGAAGGGCATCCTGTGTTCTACACCTGACTGAGCACCAATCAGTACACATCTTCCCCAGGCCTGGACCCAAATCATTCACCCTAACAAAGGCGGCATGTTCTTTCCCAGCCAAGTAAGAAAATTAAACATCCACACGAGCAGCTTCACCAGGCATCACGCATGGTGGGCAAGGTGTTTACAGCCCAAATAGAGTATAGACGTGTCCCAACCAGAGTCATATTATCCAAACATGGTTCTTAACTGTGGATCTTATATTCTCAAAAGATAATCAATCAATTGAATGGACATTTAATTATAAACCTTCTACTAATAGACTTTATTATATCCAATTCCAGGAGCAAACCCAGTCACCCTACCTGAGAGTAGAATCTAGAACCAATGATTTCCCAATTATCTAGAATTTTTGGTTTATTTGTTTGTATTTATTTATTTATTTATTTAGTACCAGGTCTACAGGGTCTCACTACACAGATTGGACTCATAGGGATCCTCCTGTGTTCAGCTCCCAAGTGCTGGGATTACAGGCACATGCCACCACACCCAGTCTTAGAATTTTGGGGTTTTGTGTGTCTGTGTAGCTACAGTTTTACCTACCTACCACTATGCTGATCTGGTCAGTATGACAGGAATTGTGCCCATAACCCTCCTTTCACTCTTTGGGACCCTAAGAGAATTATTGCAGATCTTAAATGCTAAGGGTTTGCTGCAGATCCCTGGTCTGGTTCCCTACGTTCCCCCTAACTTTACTTGATAGACTCCTGCTCCCAATAGACTGTTGTAAACTATGGCCTTAGCACACTTGAATGCAGGGTATTCATGCCTAGAAGCTGCAGCCGTAGGGCCCTCCTCCCTCACCCCTCAGGGCTGGCGCTCCCTGCACACTAGTGCAAGCTAATGTACTCTCACAGCCACGCCACTTGCTCTCTGGAGATTCGATGGCTTACCTCCCCTACGAGGATTACAGCTGCCCAGTTTCTGATGTGAAATAGCAAGCTGTGTGACCTTTGCCCGGCCACCTTTCCTGGAAGAATCTTAGTAAATTCATCTCTGAAATGAGATCCTTGGTCAAGATGGTGTGTGATGTTCCCTCTAGTGGAGACGAATTGACTTTAAGTAGATACTGTTTTGAACCCTATTTAGTCTATCACTAAATAATAAAACCCCTTTTCATATTATTTTCTTTAGAACTAAATATTTTATATGAATATTTATAAATGAGTGAGGTATTTAACCTCCAAAAACAAACTCAGCTCTGAGATGATGAAAAATCAAACGAAGTATTATAAGAAGTGGAAAAAAAATCTCATTAAAGCAACAAGTGTCACACAGACATAATCCTGTGTCACTTGTTCCCTGACTGACAGCTAGTAAACTAGGATCACCAATAATGCCAACACCTGACACTCACTATGGGTAGGGTCAGTGTCAGTGGCTCACATGTTAGAAGCCTCATGACTGTATCCGGTGTTAGCTAAAATTATCCCCATTTTATAGATAAGAAAACTGAGCTGGGCTTGGTGGTGCACACCTGCAATCCCAGCCCTTGGAAGGCTGAGGCAGGAGGACTGCCATAAGTTCAAGGCCAGCTTGGGATACATAAGTAAGTTTAAGGCCAGACTACACTACATAGCTAGATCCTGCCTCAAAAAAAGGAAAAGGAAGAAAGAAAAGGAAAGATAAAGAAAACTGAGACACAGAAGAGTTAAATAATTTACCTGAAGTCCTTCCAGGTGGTCAGGGACATATTCAAACCTGGGTGCCCTATCTCTAAAGCTCACACTCTTCAGCACTTCGCTAAAGCCCCTCTCTGTCCATTTGCCATGCAACCACCCCTACAGTACCAGGCTATTATTCCCCCAAACACCAGCAGAGGCCCAGAGAGGCTGAACAGTTGCTTTGTGTCCCACCGCACTCCTGCCTCACTACAAAGAATTTTTGAATCATCTCTGAGCGCTGATTGCTGAGAAAGAAGCCCAGAGAAAGGTGGGGTCTGGGATTTGGGGACACCGGTTCCAGAAATGCAGAATTAGCCGCAGCATCTAACTGTAAGGGAACAGCATTTGGAGGTGGGGACACTGAGAACCAGGAAGTGACAGTCGCAGGCCATCATGCAGGGGAAAAGTAAAGAGGAACGAAGAGATGGCAGGTAATAGAAAGCCAGAGGGATCCCAAGGTAGTCAGGAAACAGTTCAGAAAAGAAAGGGGAAAAAACGTTTTTTGATAGTCACGTACATTTCGAGCACCAGCGCAAAAGTTCTATATAATAAGGAAAGAAGACAATCCCAGGCAGCATGTGGTTTCGAATGAGGACAGCACAATAGGCCAGCCCACACTCAAGCCGCTTACAGGGAGTGAGGCACGGAGGAAGCAGGCTGCACGTCCCTGATGTGACTTCTCAGGGCTGCACTCTGCTTCCCAGGGAACACCACTCTGGCCCACCACGCTGAGCAGGTGCAGGGGCCGGGAAGTCTTCCAGGAAGGCCTGGCTAAATGGTGGGCTGCTTATTTTATGAAGGAATAAGTCACAAAAAACCCTTGCAAATCCCCATCCAGAAAACAGGACAGAAAGCTCAGGATATTATCTGTCCAGAACTTACTTTAAAAGAGCCCAGGCAGCGCGCATTCATTTTTGAGGAAATATATGATTAACCATAGTTAACTCCGAATTCAGATGTTGTGCATTAGGCCGGCTCCTCAGAGCTGGAGAGCATTTAATATTATATATCGCTGCCATTTGGACTAAATTGTTTTTTTAATGTACACAATATTACAAATTTAATTTGAGCTGTTTGAATCAGTCTGTAAAAAAGATTTGATTATACCTGAGTGTTCTGGCCCCAGCTTTTCCGTATCTCAGTAATCTTGGTGGTAATTGGCTGATTAGGCGTCTCACACTCCATCTCTGCCTCAGTTTCCATGGTAATGGTACAGGAGCTATTATAGATGAGAACTTCATCTCTTTCCACTTTAGGGCTGAAACGAGAGGGGAGGTTAAATGGGGTGTCATCAATCTTAATGAAATGCAATTATTTTTCCTCTTATTAATCATTGTAAGCCATTAGCTTGTGGCAACTACAGCCCACCATTTGTCAAATTTTGCAAATTTCTGTAATTTTGTTTCCATTCTTTTATTGTTTATTTGTTTTCCCTTTATCTGTTCGCCCTGCAATGAAAATGCACACAGTAAATATCTTTCACTGAGGCCTTTCTTATTTTCTGAATCTATTAGGAACATTCGCAAAAGGTTCCACAAACTCAACTTAGCAGGCCATGAGGAGACAGCACTTCCAGTTCCAAAAATGGAAGCTGATGTCGGGCAGGGTTTTTCTTTTGATCTTTTTCTTCTCCCCTTCCGTCTTCCGGATTTTACTCACACTTCGTGTGGGGGAGTGAATTGCCTGGATTCCCCCAGGGCAGAGGGAGAAATTGGAAAACCCACACAACTGGCTAACTGGCCCCTAATTCCAACTGTGAAAAAATGAACTCATTTAGGCTTTCAATTCCCTCTCCCCAGCTGATGGCAATGAGGCTTCTGTTGCTGGCAGTGGAACATTAACTTAGTAAATTAATTAAACTTACTTAACAGCCCAGACTAAGGAGATTCGATATATGTGCCCGTTATACTACCAGCCACTCACTTGAAAAGTCCTCTTGCTTTAAGAGGAGAAGCCAGACTGGATTTAAAATGCTAAACAGCAATGCGGCATCACAGACAGTCTCAGGATACGCAGTCCCGAGGAGGAGAGCGCGTGGAGAGGCGGGAGTCGCCCCCAACAGGTGCGCTATTTATTCAAGAATAATCCTGGCTTTAGGCAGCCTTGCAGCTAACTACAATATTATTAGCAATAATCATGCATGATGTTTCAAACTTCCCATCAGTTTCATATAGATGATCTCATTTCAACCTGTAAATTGGGGAGCAGTATAAAATAACCCAAAGAGATCACGGGCCTTGCACACAGGCAAAAGCAAAATTCGGCAGCGCCAGGAACGAAGCCAGGCGGCCAACTTCCCGGGCCGCTGCGCTCTCCAGCTTTCAAATACCGGTTTCTAATTGAACATCAGGAATGAAGATGGTGGAGCCTCGGGGAGACCAGGAAGGGTGGAAGAGAGGGCAAAAGGTCATCCATTGAGAAACTACAAATCCTGTGAACTATAGCATCTTTTTTCAAATCAAAGTTGCTATGGTCTCTCTCACCTCATGCTAGAAATAAGGAGCAGGATAACAATCACACCTTGGCACTCATCCGAATCTTCTTCTTGCTAAAATAATCTCAGGCATGACTAACCCACCTAAGGCATGACTTCCACACCCACTGTCCTTGAACTCTGTGAAGGGCGCCAATATTTTAACCTCATGCCACCCAGAACTGAGCAAACTTCAGGCTGGCCCCTGGTACTCTGGTCTCCCTCGGTGTGAGCGAGCCAATGTTATGATCGTTTTGTGTCCCTCACGCTTATTTGAAGCCAGTGCTGCACTAAAAGTCTCAGCGCTACAAGCACCTGGAGGGCTCGCCACACCGTATGTGCTCCGCTGCTGCGGGGAGAAGCAGTGGCGCGCAAAGGGGAGGTCTGGAAGCGGCTCGGCGTTGAGTCCTCACACCGGTCCTGCCACTTAGGTGACCCTGAAGTCACACATAATTGAGTACTTACTTTAAAGAGGTAGTGAGCAAAGGAGGGTGGAGAATAAAGCACTAGCAGCTGGGTGGGGCGGCGCACACCTGGGCGCCGAGCACTTCGGGAGTGGAAGCCGCAGAGGCAAGTTAGAGCCCAGCCTGAGCAACTTAGAGCAACTTAGCACACAGTGGGGCCCTGGCTCGAACTAGAAAGGGCTGCAGATGCAGCTGGGTGTGAGGGTGGAGGGCTCAGTCCCTAGTCCCCCACCCCCAAAAGGGAAAACCAAAGGATTAGCAGATTAGCACAGAGCCTGCTACACAAGAAGCATCTGCTAAAGCCACCGGCAAGACCAGGCTTTGACGTGACTTTGGTGGCGGTGCTGTTGCTGAGGTATGTACCTGGGAAGTGACGTTTACTGCTGTGACGTTTTATCTCACTGATGTAGACCCATTGCTCAGATCCACTTTAGATGCCAAGACCCTAGGATCCAGCTGCACCTGCAGAGCTGAGCCAATGTCCCTGCTGGAGACAAAACCTCCAGACAAATACTGTGTTCACTCCTGCAGCGTCAGTCAGACAAGATTCAAAAAGGGAAACCAAAGTAATATTACTTCTAAATTAAAACACAAATATGAAAATATGGTGGAGTAGTATGAAAAGTCAAAATGGACTTTCAAAACCTCTGACCGCACGGCAATCTAGGGCTCGGGTTAGCCCACTTCAGGCTTTGCACCTAGAACTTTCGGGCTGCTGCTGGGGTGGTGAGGTTGCCAGGATAACTCGAGGTGGCCGGCTCCCTCTAGATTCACGTCATAAGTCACTTACAAACCTATCCAAAACTGCAAACCAAAGCTGGCTTGTCACGCCATCCTCCTCTCCATGAATCGGCTCCCAAAGCTGCTGTACCTGGCTAAGAATTCTTCCTAGCATTTTGTCAGGGATAATACCAGGCTTAGTACCCCAAATTTCTCCCTTTTGGCTAATCCACAGAACACTTCCTGTCACCTTCTCTGTCACTGGGCTCCGCTGGCCAACGGAGAATGAAGTGGGCAGTGGCATGCTGCCCTTCGGCATTAGCCTGTCAGAAATACTGTCACCCCCAACCACATTTGTCCCATCCTGGATGTCTGTCCCAAATAGACTGTCACCCCTGGCCACATCCTCTCACTCTGGACAGAGTTAAGCCCCTTTCTGTGAGCTGATACTTATTTTCTAGTTTGTCTCTCATTAATTTGCAAGAGATTTTTTTTTCTTCAAAAACCCATATTCAAAATTAGCTGAGACATCAGAATAGCAAAAAGTAATTAACATTTACAAAATTTCAAAGTTTCTCAATAATTAGCTACTATTCTCTTTTATTCCACGGTAATTTTATAGATTAAGAAATATAGTTGAGGGCTGGTGAGATAGTTCAGTGGACTAAGTGCCTGCTTAGACAAGCTCAGGGACTTAGGCTTGATCCGTGGTACCATATGCCCCGTGCCAGCCCCACCCCTGGGCGTGCTGAGCCAGCCACTGAGACTGGGCGTGGTGGCGTACACCTATAATCCCAGCTCTAGGGAGGCTGAAAACAGGAGGATCACTATGAGTCAGTCCAAGCTGCCTAGTGAGACCCTGTACCAAATACATTTTTTTAAAAAGGAAATATAGTTGAACAAATTTAAATTAAATTATAGATAGCAATATATGTATAACCTAGATATGACATGGATAGATGCATATCCATACACACATACATATATGCAAGTATTTAAGAAAAATTGACAAAAACATTTTGATTTAAATAATGGTCACAATAGTTCTAGAACCTCAGATTGCTGCCTCCCCATGTGTGGCTCTTCCAGTTGGTCTCACTGGATCTGGGAGTCAACAGGTAGTCTTCCTGTACATGCTCTATGGACAGGCACTGTCACCTGTGGGAGTGCTCTGTCCCTGCGTGTCCCGACCTCACTCCCAAGGCTCTGACCGCACTGGCCACGCTGCCCAGTGGAAGCTCTTATCACAGAGGCCAATGTCACATCAGGTCAGAGGGCCGAGCTCCGGTCCCAGCACTGTCCCCACCTGACTGCAGGACTTGGGAGAGTAACTGTCCACACAGAAGAGAATGCAAGGGGCCGGGAAGATAGCTCAGTAGAATAATAACCGGGCCTGAGTTCAATCCCCGGTTCCACCAAAAAAAGAGAAGAGAATGAAAACCCCTGGGCTTTTGGGGTCTTACGCACTGCACCTGCCTTAGCTCCCTCCCTTCCCTTGCTAGTGCCACCTCCTCCCTCCTCCCTCCTGCCTCCTCCCTCCTCTCTCCTGCCTCCTCCCTCCTCCCTCCTCCCTCCT